TATTAAAATCGCTCCAGCCATTTAGACGTGAAGAAGTAACAAACATACCCACTCAAACACTTTCGCCTTTAAAATATTAGTGTTATATACGTTTCAGCTTCTGAACAGATTTTTAATTTCATGTGTATCCTTCATTTAATATGTACCTATTAGTTGGTAATGATCATCTTGTATTTATTGCAACACTGACATTAATAATAAAAGTCTTTGGCCAAGAATGTCATGTTCGATCATTAATATAATAGTGTTAATAACTCATCATATTTGACGTTTAGGTAACGATTTCACAAAATTATATATTATAATCAGCGATGACACAATTTTCAATATGTGTCGGTTATAGATCAGGGGGTTTCATGCGAGCTTCACGGGGTAGGGGAGTAGGTCAGGGTAGGCAACACTGCGAGTGATATTTTTGGTAACACAAGTGTCTAGTCCCTGAGCCACTTCTGCCATTACCTTTCAATCAGTTTCGTACATGGATGCGGCAACGAACCACACAGAATCATAACACCCGTTGGGCCAATACCGAGGGCTGCAGGCAATCTAAGGATAGTTTTCCCAGCCTTAACCCCAGACTAACTAGAAAAGTACTAAATCTCAACCGAAGTGATCTCCGAGTAATACTAGGCATCATAACAGGGCACTGCCTACTTAACAAGCATTTACTAACCATACGCGTTACAGATAGCTCTCTATGCAGAGGATGTCTGGAAGCAGATGAAACGGCCGCTCATGTGATCCTGGAATGCTCGAGCGTTGCAGAACAACGCCCGGTGTTCAATCAATCCTCAGGAAGCCGAGGACGCTCCTAGAAGCCTGTGAGAGCCCCAGGAGGCTACTGCGCTTGTGTAAGGAGCTGGGCTGGCTGAGCTAGCTAGCCCAACATACCCTGCACGCACAATGGACCAAGTACGGAGTCTACGTGCGGAAACGGGGGCCCACAACAAGTAACAACAAGTTACAAGTGTCTAGTCTAAGATATGGTGGCCGCTTACCATAAGCTTGTTTGTCATCCTTTCAACGAAAAAAAAATAAAAATGCTTGCATTATATGCCTTTCAGCTTCAGCACAATATTGCTCTATACCAAAACCGATAGACAAAGAAGAAATATTGAAGACTAGCGGTCGCCCGCGAATTTGGCCGCAGTAACTTTACTTTTTTGAGAATCCCTTAGGGACCTAAAATTTTTCCGGTATAAAAAGAATCCTATGTCTCAATCCAGGTAATCCATACTAAAATTACAAATGTGACAGTGACGTGATTGTCTGCCTGTCACTTCACGCTTGAACCGCTGAGCTGATTTAATAAATGAATAATATTATTCGGGGCAAGGGTACAACTTATTGTTCCCTTACAATTTTAGACCCAAAAATAACAAGCAATGCTATTCTGTGAAAAAATCCAAATTAAATTCTATATAATCATAATACATGAAAATTTTACAGAATTTCACTAAATAATTGGCTTGTAAACAAATATTATATTTTGTGATAGCCTACCGAAATTTGAGGTTTTGTTTACATTCTTTAATTAAACAAACTTTTGCACATTGCACATGGCACATTTAAAAACAATTTCAAGTTATTTTTGTTGCAGTCACAGGTGCAGCCCGTTTAAATATCCGTTTTCCTTACCTTTTTAATTTATTTTCCAAAATTATAGTACTTTTTGTAACAGCCGAAACTCTTTTTAATTTATATAACATGGTGTCTTACAGTTAATTGATAATTTTAATATTTTTTCATAAAATGTATACGTGTGAACAAGCTGTCGTTAGCAACCACAGATTACTTCCGTAATCATAAGCAATTTTCTGCCACAGATATTGTGATGTATTCTGACCGTTCTGACCTAAAGTGTGATTTCTTTTCTATTTGTATTTAGGAGGTAATTAATTTGTATATATATATTTATATTTTTTATTAATGTTTTCTGTGATGTCACTGCTCTGGGTATGGCAGAATACCAGTGTAGCAGGTATTTTACCTGTTGTGTATGCTGAGCCATATCCAGTGTTGGCATCACATAAAATACACATTCTGTAGCTGTTTTTTATTTTTTGTTGATTTTACGTGTTCGTTTCATTTTACTATATGTTTAATGTATTTTTGCATTTTATGTGTATGTTATGTGCTGTCAACAATAAAAACAGTTTTCTTAATTTCTTTCTTTCTAATGTTGATAAATACAAGTTTTAACGATCTTCCGACACGGCGCCAATATGTTTACAGAACCTATGGAACGGCGGTTTCAGCTGTGCTCGGTTAATTTTAGCTGCGCCTGCGCTGGCATTTAGCAAACAGGGCTCTGGGTGGCCTTGCTCAGCCATTATTCATGGTTTCAGATGATGACGGAAGATTTCGCACTTTTAAAACATGTTTGAGCAAAAAAACGTGTTCAGAACAAATAGCAACAATTAATGTTACACAATATATGAAAATATATTTGTCTTAAGTTTTCAGTTTAAAAATTTCAATAATCTTTCAATTATACTTTCAATAAATGTCTTGAAAATAGCTCGTCAAAAGTAAATAAAAATTATATTCCTGACGGCGCATCCCGAATAGGAAGCGAAACGCCATAAAATACTGTAAAAAGTATTAAAAACGCATTTTTGCCCGTTTTAAACGTATTTCATTTAACAATATACTCGTACCTATTCCTAAAGTATTGAATTGATTGATTAGAATTACCACCGCGCCGGTGTCGTAATAGCTTTTGGGAAACTTTCCATGACGACAAAGGCAAAATGCAGTAAAAATCTGATTCTAATATATAATATTTCTTAAATATAAATCTGAAAAAAGTCTAGTTTCTTTTAGTACCTACTTACTTACAACTAACCTTACGAAATATTTTGTCGTATCCCCACTGTTAAAGCACACGCCTTTCCTATAGACAGAATATTGTAAACAGATCACACATAACAAACACACCACGCCGACCAGTGCGTATTGGGTGATGGTGGGTGCTAACAGCTTCTTTTTTTTATGTTAAAAGGGTGGCAAACAAGCATTTGGCCCGCCTGATGGTAAGTGAACACCACAGCCTGTAGACGCTTGCTATACAAAAAATATCACTCGCGCTGTTGCCTACCCTGACCCAATCCCCTACCCCGACCCAATCCCCTACCCCGTGTAGCCCTGGAAGGTAAAGGTCATAGCGCAACTGACCCACCCACTGTGGTCTTCTGTAAAGTGGAGGTTACTTCCGCAGACGAGCGCTTCAATTCGAGCGGAAAGTCCGCTATGCTCTATCTCTCTTCAGCCGCATGCAGTTAGAAATACAGAAAGCCAAGCCGAAAATGTAAAGGGACTCAACCCATTTCTTAACGTGCCTTTCAAAGCTATTAGACCCCCGAGATAATAAGTAGCAGTAGAAGTTACAAACTATAACATAGTTTCAATGAATATTATAAAATAAAATAAAAATGAAAAAATATATATTATTTTTGGTTTACTTATATCTTTTACTAAATTTCTACTACAAATAGAACCACTCTCTACGGCATGGAAACATTTACACAATTACATACATACTCTTCATTCATACACACACACAAACATACTCACCCCGATTGAGGAATCTCTTTTTCATAATATGGTTGTTTTAGACGATGATTGGTTTTGGAAAGTTTTTTTTGGAAAATATACCGTAATTAACTTTAATCTTTTGTCATTCTCATTTTGTCCATCGGTTCGTAAAAGTATACCGGGTCAGGATGGTTAATATTATTGTTTCAAAGTATGCCAACTGCACTAGACTAGAAACAGAGATTTTAAGGATCCTCTTGGCAGCAAATATCTGCGTTATGTCTATGACAGTAACAAATACTCGCCGGTGGGAATGGCACGCATGTTTTATTCCGTAAGCTGAGCGGATTCAGTGCTCTATACTCGTATATGTATCTGTACCCCTTTTTTCGATGACGGGGAGAAAATATGCATTATATCCACGTCAATGACCAACGCCGCGCAGATGGCGTGGTGCAGGTATACTTTGACGTGCGCTCACGCAAGCGTGGCATACGTCACCTGACTAGTCTCACTGACCGCAGTCCGAGCGGCTAGCCAGCCGACCTGCTCTCGTGCCTACCAGGTAAACCAACTTCCGGATCTACCCCTCACCCTCCAAGCGTAACTGCGGGATCCAGTTAAAAGTCGCCGCATATATCTGTACCCCTAGCATAAATATTCATAGATTCCTGAGTAAACGTATCGATTTCTCGATAGGATCACGATCACGTATAGCTGTACCTGAACCAAGGTCGATGCGGGAGGGTGTCGACTCGTCGAGCGGACGTCAAGACCTTAATATTATCATTACAGCTACACAATAGTCTTAAAACGTTTGTAATTCTCCCAAAATAGACATACACACATCATCGCCATGGAAAATCAGCTACCTATCTTAAATAAGTTAATATAGCATAAACGAGTTTTTGCGGTTACAACCCGTCCAGATTCTTTAACACCAACGTCAAGCTGAGAATAAAATAGATAGATAAAGCAATACTTTACTAAACAAAGGTTGGGATATAGCCTCTTGTCCCAGACCCCCTGACCAGACCAGACCTCCTCTTTAACATTTCGACAACTTAGAGGATTTTGCACATTTTGATATCCATACTTGATACAGTTAAAATTAGAAAACGAATGTACGTAGTATCGCATCTTATAAAATTGTACACCGTAATAATATTTAAGTTATTCCCGTGAGTTCATCGTACCTTCTATGTTATAAATAAGTAGAGCTATTTGTCTCACGTCCGTATAAATTTTCAAATCCATCAAACAAGAACCTGTAGACAAAATATGTAACCATGTATTCGTACACAATGTGTTACCCGTGTATTCATAGACAATGCGTTATCTGTGTATTGGTAAATAATATGGTACCTGTGTATTCGTAGAAAATAGTGTCGATTCTGGCGTGATCCTCTAAACCTAAAACTAAATTTAACATCAGTCTCTCCTTTTTATTCTGTGTAAAGAATGACAAGGATAAACTGTTACCTGTGTATTCGTAGACTATATGTTACCTGTGTATTCCTAGTGAACCCATAGCCCAGGAAGCGCTCGTCGTGCGCGGGCACGGTGTCGGGCGCCACGTAGAACGGCTCGTACAGGAGCTCGAAGTTGGTCACGTTGTGGCTCACGTGGGTCTCCGTGGTCTCGTTTCCGCCGTTAGCCTCCCATCTTGGTGAAGGGAGAACATATCAATTTGACTAATAGATCATGAGCTTCAGAATGGCAGTATAAAATAAATTATGAGAGCTAGAGGTAGAGGTTATGTCGGTGTTCATTGACGTACTCATACTGTTCTGTAGTGCCTGTGTAAGAATACCAGAGCTCAAAAAAGTGTGAGAGTGGATCAGAATAGGTACTTAATGTACGTATGATACGTACATCCCAGGATAGTGCAAGCGCCATCGGGCAACGAATAATCGTGGCTTATACTTGATTAACAAACTTATCACATGAAAAAACAGAACAAGTATAGCTTTTTTTGGGGTGAAAACTTCTTTAGCGGCGTTGTACACTTTTTTTGTAATGGGTAAAAAATGTTAAACTTGCGTCAGGACACGTGGCGTAAGACGAAAACAATAAAATTGAAAAGGTTGTTGACTTTCAATATATTGCACGAAACATGATACAGTAGAACGCCGATTATCCGAACGCCGATTAACCGAATCGCCAATTATCCGAATCGGTCCTAAGCGTAATATAAAAAAATGGTTGCCTGTAAAGTCGGTTTTACGGGCGAAGATTTTACGTGACAACGTCTTTTTCTCGGTAGAATATTTATTGATATGAATATAATTAAATTGCACAATAGGAACAAGGAATTGAATGAAAATAAGAATTGCACAAATTTTAACTATAGAAATATATTTTGTTTACTAAAACATTGTACATGTAAACTTAAACTTAACACGAGAGACTCATCGTAACGTTACCGAGCGTTACACTTTTTCATAAGTGACTCCCAGCCGCAACCTAATTTAAGACGTTGTCACGTCAAAATTAAAACCAAGTCATTTTTGTTTTGTTTTGTTCTAATAAGTTGGAACTCGCTAAAGTCCAGCGAGTATGTTAAATACCTATATATATTTATATCAACTGTTAATGGTTGAAAGCTAGAGGCAAGACACTACATGTTTTACTGTTCTTAATTTTGTTTTGCTACTATGTACCTCTATTATTGTATCTAGTATTGTAGAACTGTGTTTGTTAAAAGTAATAAAGTTTATTCTATGTGTGGCAGTTCGTTTTTCTTTATTACTTGTCCATGTCCGATTATCCGTATTTTCGATTATCCGAATCGACCCCGGTCCCAATTAATTCGGATAATCGGCGTCCTACTGTAATATTCTATTTTATCGTATTATAATAATAATATGTCCCTAACTAGGACGTCCAGGTAGCAGCTTTATTGCGAAGAAAAGCACTTTTTTACAATAGATGTCGCTAGGTGCGCTTAAATGTGATTCATGTAAGTTGATTTTTCTGAGAGATAATCTTTTTAATGTAATATAAATTGTCATGTTTGTGTACGATAGCGCAATAAATAAATATTGTATTCCACCACATAAATAATAATACTTTTGTGCAGATAATTAAAGCAATTCGTGCACCATTCCAAAATATCAAAAATGCACAACGTTAATATGTATTCAAGTTTTCAGTTCTGCCGGCACTCCCGGAATGCAACCCGTCGTTTTTTTTTTATTTATTAAACCTTATTTTTAATATGAAGTTGTATAAATAATAAAACAAACCTGGAGAAGTTTGAAGCGTACTGGTTGTAAATAAAAACTTTTCTATGAAACGGTATAGCTAACTTATTCTTCGACAGTCTCAGCAGTTCCGATTTATTAGCCGGGAAGTTTGCAACCCTCTTGTCCAGCTCATACGTGGGCACGACATACGCACACAGAGGACACCGCGGTGCTGTCGCCAAGAAATTGTCAAGCGCTTCTGACATCCCTTTTGAGGGCACAATATCTACATCCACTAAGAAAACATAAGGAGTATGACAGTTCCTCCTAGCCAGATTTCGCAGGTGATTTTGTGGGTACGGGTGCCTCGCCCGCCAAGCGACCGTGTCCGCCCGTCTTTCTCCCGGCAAGGGTTTGATATCACATCCCTTATTCCATGATGCGGCGTACCCGTGAACCCCTGGTCTTTCCGCAGGTGTTGCGACATGTATCGCTAGCCGGGAATACACTTCCGGCTGGCATCTGAACAACCATGTCGCAAATGCTCTCAGAAGTCTCAATTCATCGCCGGCGACGAACACCGCTACAGATATAGGTCCTGACCAGTGAGCGGCTATTCGTAAAAGCTCGTGCAATCTCTCTATCGAGCTTTGTGTGGCCAAGCAGACGCGGCGGCTTGTCGATAACTCGGCGTACATGTCCCCAGTGGCAGCGTAGTCAAACATTCTGTAGGAGCGACTCCCGTCCCAGCGGCCGAGGCGGAGGTCTATGCGGCCTATCGGATCGTCGTCGAGTACGGCGTTAGGTGCAGTGTCGATGCAGGGCTCGCACGTTGGCGGCTCCGTGGGGGGTGGAGTGGACTGTACGGGGCACGACGGAGGCCGCAACAGCCACACGTTTGCAGCGGCATTGTAGATGATCAGAGCTATCGCTGCTATCGTCACTATACTCCATTGGCAACGCCAGCGCCACTGTAAAATATAAAAATAAACTAAAAAACTTAGTCTTGAGAACATGTCAGGATATTTATAAAGCATTAGTTAATGTCGATAGATATGTAGAAAGGTACTTACAATTTTTTCTCTACGGATTTTCGCCATTAGATACGTTGACTCCGTCCGATATTTCTATCATCTAAACTTCCGATGCATGTTTCGGCTTTGTTCGGGCTATTGAAAGATAAAAAGCTCAGATTACTACTAATACTAAAGCAGTCTTAATACAAGGACGTTATAACTACACCATTATATGAATAATAGCATTAATAGCTGTCATTTTTGTTTACCTACAATGGAGGCATTACCTATACTCTAAACCTTATCTTGAGGGATATCTATCAGTCTATTTAAATCAGATAGAATGTACATAAATATCGACATATTTTTACCTGTAATTGGTAGTAGGTGGTAGCAAACGTAAAATTTATAATATAATACTCGTATATAATACAATTTACATAGTAATGTTTAACTATTTCATTTATTATTATTATGAATCGTAGGATACCTAGTTACAGATTTGAATTAAAATTTCATCATTACAGGAACGACTCCAAATAAAAAACATGGGCCATCTGAGGACATGGCCAATACCAAGAAATAGTTCACTTCCGTGGTACCTATATGAAGTTTATAAAATTTTCATAAATAATTAATCGCAACTTGAAAAATTATCATTATTTGAAAATAAATAAAATAGTTTAATTTCCACTCTTGATTTCTATTTTGGTGGTACTTTTTCAATGATTTTGATAACTATTTTATGTTGCTTTATATCTACAAATACTTTTATGGGTAACTACTAATTAGTAGGTATAATAGACAGAGCTTGTTCGTTAGAAGGAATCCCTTAATCCACAAAACCTATTTTATAAATTCCTTAACCCAGTAGATGCCTAGCTTATTTTAAAGTAACATGAATTTTAATTCAATGAATTTTAACACATTAATACTAATTTCACCCGTGCAAAACAAGGGTGACTTGCTTATAATAGATTTTCTAATTGAAGATTTTCTATATAAATCTATTAACCTGTGCTATTAATCTTAATATACTATAAATAATAACTCTTTAGCATTACTTTACTAAAGTAAAGAAAGCTTGCTTATTTCTAATGTATGCGGTGGTATTTGTAATGCCGAGTTTGAGGCTTTCAACATAGGGAATAATTAAAAACAACTGCATGAAATATTCAGTAGAGGTTACGTTTCCACTCGTTGGAAAACAAAAATACTGACAAATAAATAAATTAGAGTAGGTACAACAATGTAGTGATGAAAGTACTTACCAAATGTGTAGTGTTTTCAATATCTGTTTAACTTCGTTGAAAATTAAGAGTTGATAAAAACAGAAGACAGATGGGTGTTACGGTGTTAGTTAGGTGGGTTTCTTTGCGCATGATCGAGATTTTGACTTGCGCAGTGGGTCTCACTTTTGTAATATTCATGTGAAGAGAGTCAAGCTCTAATCCTGCCATACGTGAAAATACGAAGGCGAAATTTGCTATAATTTTCCCATGGGACTGAGAAAATGCTTGGAATTGAAATGTGGCCACAGCAGAGTGCCCTGAATGAGGAAGCCCTAAGTGTTTAAATCGGAAATTCATGTTTAACATATTAGGATTGTCTTAGGGAACACCTATGAGAACATTCTCTTGTAATCTGGAGATAGAAATAAAAAGAAGTAGTCAGTGACGCAAACGAAACAATGAGACTCCAGACTGAAAAGGGAAAAGGAAATTAAAGAACGAACAGCTGTTACCAAATTGCAAGCTACCCACATTTATTTTGTGCATTTTCCCTGAAATATTGTTTGATGAAAACATAACGATTTTAAAATTAAATATGAACAAATAAAAAAAACTGATATCAGTATAGAGATCCTAAAAATTATCAACACAATAATAAATATGTATATGTACATACATGTATATATAGTACACAGTTATATATATACGTGGGACACTCAGAAAGTTTTGAGATACCGTAAAGGGGGGTTATTTGGATATCACGAGGTTATTTGGAATTTGCGAAAAAAAAGATTTTGACATGAATATTTTTTTTATCTGCATGTAATAGGAAATATATTTTACCACCTGGCAATAGAACAACATTTTATGTCAATGGTGTCGATTCTAGCATGATTCTCTAAATCTAAACTTAAATTTGACAGCAGTATATCCTTGTCTTTCTCTATACAGAATGAAAAGGAGAGACTGCTGTAAAATTTAGTTTTAAGTTTAGAGAATCACACCAGAATTGACAACAATGTCAAATTGGAATTTTGGAGGTAATTGGTGATAAACGTTGAGCAGTGTGTCATTCAAAAAAAATGGGTGCGTGTACTTATGTAGGCGCGTGAGAAGTTATCCTTCTTTCGCATCGTTTAAAATTAGTTTTTAATTGCATGCAAATAATTAATTACAATAAATTAATAAAAAGTCTGGAAAAGGACACAGTCAATAAAGTTCAGTTTTAATTTGAAAAAATAAATAAATAATCAAAATATTCAATTAAAATCGCTACTGAATATAATTTATTAGAACATATGTGATTTGCACTTGTATAAAACTCAAACACGTATTCCGAATATACAAACTAGAAACATGTGGATAAATATTATAAATATGAATACCTATAACTGTTACTTTATTACAAAAAATAAAGATGTGGTTTTTGGTTCTACTACACCAATGGTCAAGAGATGGCGCTGTAGTCTCCTGAATCGCGCTTTGGTTCCGTTGTTCCAGATTAATAAATACTTTTTGTTACTTTATTACAAAAAATAAAGATGTGGTTTTTGGTTCTACTACACCAATGGTCAAGAGATGGCGCTGTAGTCTCCTGAATCGCGCTTTGGTACCGTTGTTCCAGATTAATAAATACTTTTGATAGGCCTTAACAATGCAGTCGTTAGCACCCACTAAATAGAGATTCTATTTCTTCTGTTCAACTTCATGCTGTTAATTTTTTGTGTTACAGTGATGCGCGCGCATCTTAAAATTTCACTCTCATCATTTTTTCATAACGCGCCTAAAGAAGTATAACTTCAAAAATCGTAAAATTTGGGTGTATTTTGTGGTGCCAAAACTTTCGTCTGGTACACTACATCTAGAAAGGTATGTAAGGGAGAAATAGATTGCGAAATAGAGTTTTTCATCGGCATTACAGTGATTGAATTAGCTTTTTTCTATCTCTTACGGCCTGCCATGCTATTCAGTTTTTTCACTATGGGGCTTTTTGGTTTCTGTTTTGGGGTCAATTGAAACTTTGTTTTAAATAGCCCCTTGAAAGTCTGTCAAACTTTGCTAAGTCTTCTATTCATCGTTTCAAATAACTCCAATTGTTCATTTTAACCTAATTAATTAAGGGTAAGATGTTTTGGGGCACTATATTTTTACGATTTTTTTTATTGAAGTTATACTTCTTTAGGCGCGTTATGAAAAAATGATGAGAGTGAAATTTTAAGATGCGCGCGCATCAGTGTAACTCAAAATTTTAACAGCATGAAGTTGGTCGCTAAAGCGACTTTTGTGTTTACCGCACATTAAGAAAATCTACCAACAAAATAGAAATAGAATCTCTATTTAGTGGGTGCTAACGACTGCATTGTGAAGGCCTATCAAAAGTATTTATTAATCTGGAACATGGAGCACCCCCACTAGAGTCCGCATCACACAAATTTTGTTTGGAATCAAAATCGCCAAAGTCGGTGGGGTGCAGGGAGGTCAGCCCCGCTGTGATTGGGCGCGTCAAGGTCAGATCATATACTCAGTGCAGCGAAGTGATGAGGGTAAGATCGATTTTAGAAAATATCGATATTTTCTATCGATAAAAATTTAGAATAGAGGCCTAAATAAAACTAGAGGCCTAGTACTTTGGTGCGCAAATGCGTAATCATACCCTCTCCACTTTCTTCCAGCGCTCTAATTACATGACGCGACTAGTAACTAAATACTAAATTATATATAAGCAACACAAAAAAAACACGTCCAGGACAAGAAGTATTAATGCAACGATATTAACTACCCTAAATACAACAACACGAACAAAATCGTGGCCGAAACGTGTCCAAAAGGTACATTGGACGATCCACGGAGGTCCGTAAGATGATCGCGTGGTCAAAAACAATATAATGCCTTATTTAAACATTGAAAGTCACCTTTAATGCATATGGCATAAGGTCTTAATTAAAATGCATGCGTCAAGTTCGTAAAATTTTACGATTTATTGTTATATGTGAAAGAATATAGACCTTATTTTTTTTGACTTTTCACTCGCAATTCTGAATGCGCTGTTGGCAATACAGCAAGTACAGACCGCGAAGAAAAGAGATGGCTAAGGGCGACGTATAACCGACCATGCATTTGAATATCACAAATATTTTAAATTAAATCAGTTTATAGTAAGTATTACAACAATAAAATTTGCTTTAAAGGCGTTAATTAAAAAACATTAATTAGATACCCGTCGAAAAAACAACACTTTACGTACTATTAGTATTTTTCTGCATTTTTTCACGGAACTCTTTGGCATCTTGACTTTTTAACGGTCCGCGTGTGACTGTGTACTAAGAAGTGCTTGAGTGGAGTTCAAGCACGTCTTGATTGGGACACATTTTGAGCGCTCGTGTTGTATCTAGGGTATTTAATATCGTTAATTCTATGTCTTTATCTAGGTCATAAACTATGCGCACTTAATTTCATACAAATCTGTTTAACCGTTTTAGCGTGAAAGAGTAACAAATATGCATACAAATTTTCGCGTTTTTTCAATTTTATTAGGATATGTTTGAAGTCAAATAAAAAGTGTTGGTTGTATACTTATGACATTTATTATTGTATACGATGAAATAAATAGTTCTTATTTATTTTTTCCATTTCCATAGCTGACAAACTTATCGATAAACTTACGCGTTGAGACATGAGCTGCGTCTGAGTCACTAGCAATACACGTGCCGGTGTGAGAGCGAGATAGCATATATGATGTAGCCCATGCGAGAAAGGGATAGTGTAAAAAGACATCAACGCGTTCACCAAAAAATAAATACAATTAACAGCAATTTAATATAACAGTATTTTTGTCTTTTTGTAATGCATTTA